CAAGAGATGCCATTTCTACTTGACTTAAAGAAGCCAGTTACTACCTATTATTCCAACTTCATACGTTCTGCAAAAGTGATTTCCAGTATAAGATGTCATGAAGCAGTGCTCACAATCCTGTCACTTGATGGATCCACTGACAACTAGAACAGAACAGTCTTAGAAGTTACGTACACTGCAAAAGAGCTTTCGTTAGCACTTACTGCTGGGTCAAATTTCTGCTGGAAACAATCAACAACCGTGTACTCCACATTATCTTCTTCCTTCTCTAAACAGAAGGGGGAAAAAAAAAACATTAGACAATTCCTCTACTTTGAATAAACTTTGCACAAGATATGTATTTTAGTTGTATCATCATTCTGCTTTTCTGGTTTAGTTTTCTACTTCCTGAACACACCGTAACAGATTACTGAACTGTCTGATTCAGATGTGTACAGTCTAGAGCATACGGCAAAATTCTGTTTTTTTGACAGAAAAACTGGCTGTTTAAAAGTGAGTTGCAGCATTACTTTTTGTTGTTATGATGCATAAAGGAAACAAAGAGGTTTCAATTAAAAAAAACCAAACATCCATTAAAAAAGCACCCTAACTCCCAAGCTTGTTCAGGAAAGGAAAAATATTGTAACAAAGACAAAAATAACAGACACGGACACCACAGAACACAGACAGCTAAGTGATCAAAGAGGGATAGAGTATTTAAGTCAGATTTCAATATATTTTAACACTTGTATATCAATGTCTAATGAACAGGTAAAGAAGGGTTCTCTTAAAGATTCTCTCTTCTCTTTAGGTAAGATGTGAATGTTAATAATATGCATCCATGACAACACAAGGATAATCTTCTAAACTTGAAAATAACAGTCAATAACAGTCAATTAAAAGATCATAAGAAAAAATTTTTAAAGGCTCTCCCAGATCACAACAACCCTTGCTCATTTTCTCCCCCACTACCCAGGTAAATGCAGCAAACCTTCCTTCAGCCTACACAGGTCTAGTACTCTTGTCATGGCTCTACGAGAACAGAATGAGCTGATCATGTTTCGGATCTGCAATACAGCAGGAACCAGACAACCAAATCAATGCAAGCATGTGACAGCCAGCACAGAACCAAAAGGGCAATAGTCTTATTGAGCTTTGAGTTATCCATGATGCCACATACATTTCAGGAACAAGTATAAAATTAAAACCATCACCAGAGAGGAACGCTCACTGGCTGATGCACTTTGGTTTCTCCAAAAGATCAGCTCTGCTGCTCAGCCACTTTTACAGCTGATGAGAGCTTCAGGATAAACATTCTGGAAAGCAGATGTGTTTCCTTCTTATGTTGTGAACATATATGCAGGCAAAGAGCATGTCTGCAGATAATGAGCGCTGTACCTATACTTCTGTGACCACTGCTCTTCCAGAATACATCCTGTTCTGATACAGGCAAGCCAAGAGATAACAGCCTCTGGGAAGGATGATGTCTGACAAAGACAAGCTAACTACATTGCTTGACTAATATTCACATTACCTGAGTGGGAGCATTTTAAACTATTTGAGGCTTTGAGCTGGCTCTCTAGGGAAACACAAGGAGAACTCCATGGGTCACAGTCTGCTGGTTCTGTGTCTGCTTGTTTGTCCCCTTCAACAGCTGAAGCACACCTGCACGAGCAAGACAACCATACACAGCACAGAAGTCAAAACATTACACTTCCCCCAGCATGGACATTTTAATACAGAAAATTAGTTCATCCATTGCCATCTACCTGTGTCCAGACAATGAACTGCTGCATGCAAAGCAACTTCCTAATCCACTGTGTATGGTTCTTAAAGATCTTGAAGCAAAATAAGCTTATTTTGCACAGAAGGGCCTTTATTTCAGATAACATTTCACATTTATTCTGAGATTAAGAGGTGAAAATAGAATCTGAACAGACAACCACTGCAAAGGTCAGCACAGTTTCAAGGGAAGAAAGAGTTCAAAGTACAAAGAATGAAGTACGTGACCTGAGCCCAAGACCACCCAGTTTAAATATCTGTAAGTCTTTACACTGAATCAATAATATTTGATGCATTATTTAGTTACTGCAATTGGAGGGCGATTTTACAACTTCACGAGTATGCAAAACGGCTACATCCACTGAAACTTTACTGTAAACAAATGGAAGCTATTAAATCATATAAAACTGTAGCATCTCAGGATCAAAAAAAACCACAAACAAAAAAACAGAGCTAGCAAACATTTACCCAACTGAAAGATGTCACATATAAGATGCTTAATTTCTACAACAGGACAGTCTGAAGTCAAGAATACTTCACTGGGAAAGACGACTTATTAGTATGTTTCCTTATACTGATATAAAAACACCCCATTACGATTATGAAGCTCCAATCATGTACTTCTCTACCTTAATAGAATAAAACATGAAAAAACCTTTCTGATCAGCTTTTAGATGCAGCTGAAGAATCTTGTATCTAAAAATTCTGTGTTTGAAAGATTAACACAAGAATCTGCTACCAAGGTCAGCATATTCAAGTACGTGTGAATGTAGGCTTACTTAACAGGGAGAAAGGAAACAAAAACACCAGCAAGCAAAAAGATTGCTGCTAATCAGGATTCCATGTGCTTTTAAACTCTATTTTAAGGACTATTCAGTAGACATGACTGCATTCCTACTTCTCTTAAGAGGAAGAATATTCAAATGTGGTCTTGTGGGAAGACTCAAAGCATTAAGCCATCTACAAGCATGGGTCTGCAGGAGTTCGAAACATACTTTTACCAGCTTTCCAAAGTCACATTTATACGTATTTCAAGAGCATCTGTATAAACCTAACCTTCCTTGTGCAATTTTTCTGGAAGTGTTCCACCACAGCAGAAATGCTCATGGAAAATCCTCCCTGAAACCACAAGCTGACAAGGAAACAAACCAAGCAAATTTTTCTACCTAGGAACACTAGTGGAAAGAAAAAAAAAAAGAAGGAAAAAAAAAAAAAGAAAACAGCAATAGAGAGAAATCGTAAGCAATACCTTGAAAGAACCTTTTACACAGTGGAGGTCTTCTGCTCGCCATCTTATTCACCTCTTTAGAGTAGAGAAACACAAACTTGGCACAGCTAAATCCGAACATCAATATTATACTAAATGCAAGTGGTGGCTCTCCTAGGAAGTGCATCCCACCCCCTCTCTGACGGTGAAAGGAACAAAACATTTCAACATACTCAGAGAGCATTGCTGTTCCCTTCTCTGAATCTGGTTCATCCAGGAATTCCACTGCAATAGAAACAATTTATGTTCTAGTGCTGACAAGCAACTTTTTGACAGCTGTTATCTCCCAAAAAAAGGGGAACCACAATTGATACTAACCGCCATAGGACATGGCCATACATGCAAAAAAGTATAGTTTATATAATTTTAAATTTACCCTGATGTACAAATCTATACAAAATAAGTTACATCAGTAGCCTAGATAACATGTATTTCGGAATTCTAGCACTTAAACAAGACTAATGGCTTAGCATTCTACCAAAAACAAAGTCAGTATCGAACTACAACTAATTACTTTACAAACTATCACATATCCAATAAAGCAGGTGCAAGGAAAAAGACAGAATGAAGTCAGTTAACCACTTGCTAAGTCTGATAGCTTCCTTGTAGGTATTTCCCCCTCAGCACTTCGCTCCTTGTCTCCAAAGTAAAGCAGATGCCAACGGAAATGTACAGGACCTTTATACACTAGAAATGTTTTTCTTTTTTTCTTGAATAATCCCATATTTTTACCACTAGTGAATCATGGAAAGAGGGTCAGATAAACAGACCATTTAATAGAGATGCTTTTGCCTGTGTGAGTAAAAGCAAAACCAAGTTAACCAAAACTTTAAGCAATTTAACTTCCCAGCAGAGTCCATTAGTGAAAGTCTTGCACATATATACACAACGAATGTAACTTGCCTTCAGGATATAAAGAGGGGGCACACTTATTTCAACCTTTGGAGTCGTTACTTTAATTAGTGATCCTATTAGACTTTATTTGTTATTTAACTAATAAGCTTTAATGTAGTATAGTCACAAAACCTTCACAAAGTGGGGAATTATTTCACTGATAGATAATTGGGGAACAAAATTACTGTGATTTATACAAGATTCAAATTCCTACTGGTTTTAAAAGAAAGACGTGCAACAGAAGAATGCAGCAAAGTGACCTAAAAATGGACTAAGAGTGGGCATGATCCCTGTGCCCCAGAAAGTGGTAAGAAAAGCCTCACCGTTGACTATTTCATGTCCAAAAAACATCTTTACTCCTGGAGTGCTTCTGCCAGTTTCCAAGTTCTTAACTGAAATGAAGGAGGGCAAACATACAGACACACGTCAAGTTCCACCGTTTGAGGTAAAAGCTTATCATTTGCAGAACAAAACAAGACCACAAGACCAGGCAGCGCTATTAACTAGGGAAAAAAAAAAATAATCTGCGAACAGGTTATTTTAAGTGACAGCTCTTTCACTCCACAGAAGAGGGCTTCTGTAAGGTACTGCACACGGAGTGGGACACAACTCAGGTCTGCTACGCCCAGCCTCACGGCTGAGAGGATAGGCAGGTGCTGTTAACTCCCGCATTAAGCGCGGATTTTATTCATCCCAGAGCCCGTCTTCGCTCCCGGGAAGCACCCACGGCCGCGGCGGGCCCCGACCTGTCCGCAGGAGGAGGCTCCGGTCGCGATTCACGTGCTGCAGCACCCCCTGGAAGACGCCGCATTTTAAGGTGAGTCTCACGGTTCTCCCCAGAACGGCAGTGAGGCGCTCGCTGCTCTCGCTGCTGACGGCCATACGGCAGCCCGGGGCGGCGGCAGCGCGGACGGAGCTCTCCCAGCGCCACACCTGCGGCACAAGCGAACGGCGCTGCTCGCGTGCGACACCGACGCCCCGCCCCCGGGGCGGGACCATCAGAGCCCGCACCCAATCACAGAGG